TCAATACATCTCTGCAGGGCCCTGCACGATCCTGCAAGATCCTGCAAGATCCGGCAGGATCCTGCGCGCTACCCTGGGCCACTGCAGCACTGGCCTTGCAGGCTCCTGCAGATCCAGCGCTCTGGCTGACTGGGGAAACCAAAGGTACCGATACCGCTACTCCTCTCCTGGGGTGCGTTCTGACCAGGATTCCGAAACGAATCCAGAAGTGGCAACGCGGGCCTCCGAGGAGGCCGAAAAAAGGAGAACGTGCGAAGGGTAGCGGTATCGGTTCTTTCCTCCTATGGCTGACCCTCGCTTGCACTAACCCCCGTCTTTGCCAGCTCGACGGCATTTTCTCCCAGGCGACAGGCCAGCCACGGTCCAACACAGAGCCGACGACACGGCCTGGGCCGCGAAGGCCGCGGGGCGGCACCCTGTGGCCAGGGGCTTCGAGGGCGGAGGCCCGCCGGTGGCGGCAGGGAGGCCCCAAGGGAGAGGCCAGAAGCACGCCCGCGGACCTCGGAGCCCTCCTCGGTGGGTGCGTCTGCCCTGGGGCTCGCCCTCTGCCTCCCCTGGCCGGGCCCAAGAGCATATGCACCACCACAGCCACGTCTCTGAACCCCTCTCCCTTGTTTCAGGGATAAGCGACTACGATGGAGATGGAATGGAGGGCGGGGGAGGAGGAGGAGGAGAAGGAGGAGGAGGAGGAGGAGGAGGAGGAGGAGGAGGAGGAGGAGGAGGAGGAGGAGGTGGGTGGGGTGGTGGTGGTGGTGGTGGTGGTGGTGCGTGCGTTTGGGGCCCGCATCGCCCGACTTTTCCCCGCCCCCGCCTGGCTCTCTGCCGCGGCCCGGGCTCGAGCGGGCAGCGCCCCGGCCCTGGTCGGCGGCGGCAGTCCCCCGCTTCAGCGGCGGTCGCCGAGGAGGCGGCCAGCCCGGGCCTCAGTCCGCATGGACCTGCCCCGAGCAGGGCCCGAGTCCAACAAACTCGAGCCGAGATGCTGTGGAGGGGGAGGGGGGAGGAGGAGGAGGAGGAGGAGGAGGAGGAGGAGGAGGAGGAGGAGGAGGAGGAGGAGGAGAAGGAGGAGGAGGAGAAGGAGGAGGAGGAGGAGCGGGGTCAGAAGCCCAGACCTTCAGAAGAGCCCAGAATCGGATCGAGAAATCGGACCGGCGATCGAAATGATTCGGATCGGCGGAGATCGATCGGCAGCCAAGTCGGGAGAAGTCGAATCGGCGGACTTCGGCAGGCTAGTATGACTCCAATGAGAAATGTGAGCCCAAATAGGACTCCCAAATCGAGTCGAATCGGAATCGGAAGCCATCGAAATCAAATCGAATCGGATCGGAGAAGTCAAAAAGAGCCCTGGACCTTCGAGTAGGGGATCGACGGCATATCCTTCCTTTTACCGCGGAACTGATTCTTTCTCGTCGAAGCCCTGACCAGATGCGCAGCACGCCCAGAAGTGTGCGAACATCCTACGCGTCGTTCAGGGCTCCGACGGAAAAAACAAGTTGTGGGGTAATTCGATTCTGTAGGAATGATATCCAGCGTGCCCCTGAGATCCCAGCGACGTGTTGTTTGTTTCTGCATCGGGCGTTTCGTAGACGATCCTCGGACCCGAGCTATGGGGCCACGAAACGCTGTCCTGGGTGGGGGAGACGCATGCGAACACCCCCACTGGGGCCTTCGGTGGAGCTCCCTATGGGACCACGAAGCGCTGTCCTGCGTCGGTGAGACGCATGCGAACACCCCGATTGAGGCCTTCGGTGGAGCTCCCTATGGGGCCACGAAACGCTGTCCTGGGTGGGGGAGGCGCATGCGAACACCCCCACTGGGGCCTTCGGTGGAGCTCTCTATGGGGCCACGAAGTGCTGTCCTGCGTGGGGGAGACGCATGCGAACACCCCGATTGAGGCCTTCGGTGGAGCTCCCTATGGGGCCACGAAACGATGTCCTGCGTGGGGAGACGCAGGCGAACACCCCGATTGAGGCCTTCGATGGAGCTCCCTATGGGGCCACGAAACGCTGTCCTGGGTGGGGGAGGCGCATGCGAACACCCCCACTGGGGCCTTCGGTGGAGCTCCCTATGGGGCCACGAAGCGCTGTCCTGCGTCGGTGAGACGCATGCGAACACCCCGATTGAGGCCTTCGGTGGAGCTCCCTATGGGGCCACGAAGCGCTGTCCTGGGTGGGGGAGACGCATGCGAACACCCCCACTGGGGCCTTCGGTGGAGCTCCCTATGGGGCCACGAAGCGCTGTCCTGCGTGGGGGAGACACATGCGAACACCCCGATTGAGGCCTTCGGTGGAGCTCCCTATGGGCCACGAAACGCTGTCCCGGGTGGGGGAGCCGCATGCGAACACTGCCACTGTGGCCTTAGGTGGGGCTCCCTGTGGGGCCACGAAGCGTGTGAGGGGTGTGACGACATGGGCGGTGGGGACGATGATGGTGACGATGATGAGGAGGATGTGGATGAGGATGATGCTGCAGATGATGATGCTGATGGATGATGGGTGACGGTGATGATGGTGACGATGGTGTAGGGAGAGGGAGGGGATGATGATGATGATGATGATGATGATGATGCTGATGATGATGATGCTGCTGCTGCTGCTGCTGCTGCTGATGATGATGATGATGATGATGATGATGATGGTGATGGGAGGGGAGGAGGAGGAGAAGGAGGAGGAGGAGGAGGAGGAGGAAGAGGAGGAGGAGGAGTAGGAGGAGGAGGAGGACGAGGAGGAGAGGAGAGGAGAGGAGAGGAACGCGGGGCGCTGTCACTTCAAAACGAGGACCCAACACCACAGGATGGTTGGGAAAAAACCAACAAACAGGGCGGGGAACCCGAATAACTCGGTGAACAAGGACGAGCAGCGTAAGAATACGATGTACCGTGGGGGGGGGAACCTGGGGAACCCGAGGAACATCTGGGGAACAGGCACAATAAGAATGCGAGGCACCGGGGGCGGGGAACCCAAGGAACCTCCAGGGAACGGGCAATGTTCGCCCCCGAGGCACCAATCAGTAACCAAGTAAGAACCCCTTAGGCAAATCTGATATGGGAACAAACGCGGCGCCGTCGTTATGCGGGCGGCGACAGCGCTGACAGGGGAAGGGGGGAGACAAGGGGGGAGGGAGGATTTATGGAGTTACGCGACCATGTCGAACACTTGAAAGAAACCTGATGCCACTTCAACGGCCGAGGAGGACACTTTCCCCGACGAGCTACGCTTTGCGAGCTCGGCCTCGCTGTAAACTTCCAGAGCCCACCCGCATGCGCACTGGAACTGCGAGTACGACGATCTCTCAGCTTGCCGCCGGGGCCGTGGCTGCGCTCCCTGGCTGACATATGCAGCTGCTGTGCTGCATCATGGGCACAAGGCGAGCAAAACCAACACCCAGCCCAGCGCGATATGTCGCCGCGCCGGTTGTCCTCGACGCGCCGCCCAGATCGACGACGCCGACCCCCCGGCAAAACCACGGCACACCCTGCGTCCCGCGCACAAGCAGACGAAGCCAGCACCGCGGCAGACCCACCGCAAGCCCGCCACGCCCGAGGGGGAGTCTGCCCCGGTGGCCGCGGCGCCCTCCCCAAGACGCAAGGCCGCGCGTCGGAACAGACGGCGCGGCGACGTCTTCAGTCGAGCGGCCCGCCGGCCCCCCCTACGCGCGCGTGCCGCCCAAGGGGGGGTGGAAGTGTGGAGACCCCTGCACGGTCTACGGGACGAGAAGGAAGCGCGCACAAAGCTCATCCACGGGCGGCTCGCCATCGCTCGGACGTCGACCCCCCGTGGTTCGATGTCGTACGCTTTTTTGTGGGGGAGGGTACTTTTCCGAGGACAAAGCGCACGTCTGAGCGATGCCAGAGGGGGGGCGGGAGAGAGGAATCGGGGACACGTAAGACTTGGGTTCGGGGGACTCGGGTTGCCCTGGCGGAGCCGTTTTGAAAATCACGAGACCCAATCTGAAATTTGACGTGAACTCCCGCTGCAAGCATCCCACGGAAACTGAACCGTCAAAATCCAGGACGCGTTCGTAAAAAAACGTCAGCAAACTCGAGTTCTGGCGTACACACTGGTCCAAGGAAGTAGGTAGAAACATGAAGTAGGAAGGCGTTGAAAATAGATTGGGTTCCGTCCGCCCCCTGAGAAGGACGGAAAAGGTGAAGCCACTCGATCATTGAAGTAGGAAGGCGCTTAAAGTAGATTGGAATCTGGGCATCCAAAAATACCTACTTTCAACGACCGATGGGTACTCGAGTCTTACGTTTCCAGAACGACCTCGGTCCCCGAAGGGGCACCCGGCGCGGAGGCCCCCCACCCTGGCAGGGCGGCGCCACTCCCCGCTCGGGGATCTCTGCTCGAAGCCCGCGCTGCCCCCACGACGGCCTGCGCGAGGAACGGCCGGAAGGTGCACACGTCGGTCGGAAGCAGTGCGGAGGAGGAAGGAGGAAGAGGGCAAGGAGGAGGAGGAGGAGGAGGAGGAGGAGATGCGGGAGGAGGAGGAGGAGGAGGAGGAGGAGGAGGAGGAGGAGGAGGAGGAGGAGGAGGAGGAGGAGGAGGAGGAGGAGGTGGAGGAGAGTCAAGAAGCAGGAAGGCGCCTGGCGTAGAATGGAATCTGGGAGTCCCAAACTACCTACAGTCGTGCTGCTGAAAGAAGGAACGCTAAGGAAGGAACTGGGCCCCTTCGGGGCACCGGGAGAGCCTAGGTGTACGCTGAGGGCTCGAGGAGCAGCCAAGGAAGGACCTAAGGAACATCGAGCCCCTTCCGAACCCAAACTGGTCCTTATGCCAGCGTCTTGGCTGTACTTTCAACGACGGGTGGGTACTTCTGGCATTTCTTGAACAGCGTCGTACCACTCATCGGCATGCTGCAACTGACCCGAACTGATCTGCTGCAAGGCGCTGGGGTCTGAATTCTGCATGCGCCGCTCAACGTCGTGTGTTGCAGCCACTCGCTGAGTGCCACATTGCTGCAAGGCGCAACTCTGGTGGAAGCTGCCCAATTTCGTGCTGAAGCTAAAGACGAATGAGCTGCTGCAACAAGTCGGGGTCTGAATTCAGGTTGCGCTGCTCAAGGGCGTGCACAACGACGTGCTGCATGAGGTACTGCTGGATGGTGCGCTGCTGGCGACGTCGCGCTGCCCGGCGACGTGTTGCAACTGACCCGAACTGACCTGCAGCAGAACAATCGAAGTCTGGATCCTGAGCGGGCTACCAAACGTCGTGCCGCTCGACGACGCACTGCGCGAAATACTGTGGGTGGGGTGTCCTTCTGGCACAGTGCTGTTCAAAAGTGCGCTGCTCAACGACGCGGTGCGCACCCATGAAGAGACCGCCTGCTGCAACAAGTCGTGCAGGCCGAACTCGGCTCCAGACTGCTTAGAAGGCGAACGACTGTGCGGTCCGCTGCTCCACGACGCGCCGCGAGCTCTGCCGGAGCCATGCCCGTCGACACGACGGGCTGAGGAAGGCCGTGCCGCTCAGCGCCGTACTGCGCCGCCTCGTGCTACTCAAATTACCTGCAGTTGTGAGTGGCTTGCTGCCGCACCTGGCGGACACCTCGCCCTCGCTAGGCACTGACAGCCTACGCACATGACCGAACAACTGTCCAGCTTGACGCTGTGCTCCGCGAAGTTGAAGTCGTCAGTGTCTGCAGCGTGGCGGCAAGCCGTCGCAGCGCCCGTGGCTCCAGGCGGCCTCCTCCCTCCTCAGAGGCGGCCTCCTTCAGACCGTCCCAATCACTACTTCCACTCGCTGGCATTGAGGTGCTGGTAGCCCGGCGGCGCGCCTAGGCGAGCGGATCCCCTGGAGCTCAGGGAGAAGGATGAGGATCAGGAGGATAGCGAGGAGGAGCGAACGCCCCCTATGAGCCACGCTCATGTTCTGCTCGCCTATGCCTCCGCACCGCTGGCCAGGCTCTCGCACAGCCTCAGGACGGCACGAACTTCTTCGACGGCAACGACATGGACATCGTAGCGGTGAGACTGGCGAAGCAATACAGGAACGTGCGTAAATCCGACGACCCCTTGTGGGTCTCTAGGCGTGTGAGATAATTCCCCCCCATGACCCCCCCGGGACCCCAAACCGGAGATTTGCACCCACCCCCCCGGCCGCGCCAGACCCCGGACTGAGCGCGTCACGGGCGGGCAGAGGGCCCTAAAACAAGCCAGAAGGGCACCCGGACAACCCCAAGATGGTCCAAGAGGCCTCCAAGACGCCCCAAGAGGCCGCCTATACGTCTCAAGAAGCCTCTCAGAGGCCCCAAGAGGCCTCCAAAATGCCCCAAGAGGCCACCAAGACGCCCCAAGAGACCTCCAAGAGGCCTCCAAAGAGGGCTCCAAGATGCCATAATTGTTGATTTTCATTTAATTTTTAAAGTTTTTCGCTTTCTCTCCTTTTCAGCTTCCCGACGCTCCAAGACCGCCCATCAGGCCCCCAAGACCGCTCGAAAACGGCGCAAGATGCCCCCACGACGCCCCCAAAACGGCCCGAGAGGCCCGCCAGATGGCTCAAGAACCGCCCAAGACGGCCCAAGAGGCGCCCGAGACGGGCCCAAGAGGGCTTCCCTGAGAGGGACTACGAACCAAAGCATCTGGCATTCCGCCTCGAAAAAGCTTCCAGGAAGCCCGAAAAGACCCCAAAGAGGCCCAAATAACCCCGCAAGAAGCCTCCAAGACGCCCAAGAGGCTCCCAAGACGCCTCCAAGAAAGGCCCCCAAGAGCCTTCCGAACTGCTTCCGGACAACCCGCGACAACCCTCCCCGCAATATCCCCACGGACATCCCCGAACGCACCGGCTGATCGAGTCGCGCCCAGCCGCGGCGACAACCAGGGTCCCCGAAGGCGAGGCTTTCTTCTCCGTCTCCGCCGTCGCACATCCCGAAAGCCCACCAGAAATCGGAAACCTGCAGGAGCCTTCCGAACTGCTTCCGGAAAACCTGCGACAAGCCTCCCCGCAAGATCCCCGCAGACATCCCCGAACGCACCGGCTGATCGAGTCGCGCCCAACCGCGGCGACGAGCAGGGCCCCCGAAGGCGAGGCTTTCTTCTCCGTCTCCGCCGTCGCACATCCCGAAAACCCACCAGAAATTGGAGTATTGACCCGCGCACCAGATCGTGACTCCTCCTCCTCCTCCTCCTCCTCCTCACTTCCCTCCTCCTCCTCCTCCTCCTCCTCCTCCTCCTCTTCCTCCTCCGTTCACCCATCTTTTCGCCTCTCACCCATCCTTCCCCTCCTCCTCCTCCTCCTCCTCCGCTTTCTCCATCGCTGTTTCCCCTTTTCGTCGGTTTCGTCTTCCCTTTCGCTCTCACCCCCGCGGGTCCTATTCAACGGTATCATTTGCATGCTTTGCATTTCAGGGTGCCCTTCTTCTCTTCACGCGCGACGTTGCTACTGTCCACGGAGAAGGCCGACTTCGGCAATTTCTTCTGGCACTTGCCACTATATTGATATGCTTGCCAACTGCGCGCCGTGAGCCCGTCGACAATGCAACTGCGCATGCAACTTTGCTCTTCCTCGTGAAGTGTTTACTTTTGGTAGTCGCTGATGTGCTGCTGTCGAGCGAACTCCTTCTTGCACGATCCACACGTCAACAATCGCTGCAACCGCTTCGTCTCATCGGCTACCCCCTTCGCGGTCTCGCCGCGTTTGTTGCAGTCCTCGCACACCACTTTGTCTCCCCTCGTCCGATGATGCTCACCTGGTCTCGACTCGAATGGCCTGTCTCCCGAAAACTCACCCCGCATCCTGGCGCGCAGCACTTCAACGGCTCCGCCTCTGCCTCCACCTTGCATTTCCTACTACTGGACTCGCGCGTCTACCTCTCGCGTTCTTCCGCGTATTTCCGACACAGCCGCGCCCCCGCTGCATTGTGCTTCTTCTGTGCATCCGACACTTCCGCCTGCTCGTCAAACAGCGCCAGGCACGTCTGCCTCGAACATCGCACTCTTAATGCGCTGTCCTTCCACTTCGCGTCGGCTGCGAGCGACTTTTGTTTTGCCTTCACATCGGGGCACTTGGCGCAATACAAAGTCCAAATCTCCTTCGCCCCCGTTCCCGTCGCCACTACCTCCCGCGCCCCCCTCGCCGCCCCTCCGGGCACGCCCGTCGCCCTCCGCTTGCGTGCCCATGTGTTGCACGTTGTGCGCCATTTCTCGTCCCGGATCTTCATCTCCGCGGTGCACTCCCTCTCCTTCCGCTGAAATTCGTACTTCGTGAACGCGTCCACTGGCAGCCTACGTCGGCACCGCTCGCACTGGTCTCGCGGCGTCAGCTTCGCCCCCCCTCATCCCAATCCACGCTCTCCCCTCGTTGCACCTGCAACAACTTCTGCGCGCCCGGCAGCTCCCCTTCGTTGTGCGGTTTCCTACCGGAAGGCCTGGAGATCAATGAATTCCCCCGCCTCCGCACCCGCGTAACTGCACATCCAACTCACGCCGCGCCCTCGCTCAATATCCGCTTTAATTGCGGCCGTTGTCCGCCCTTGCGCGGCGCGCGCCGTCGCTGCCAACGCCGGCGTAATCATAAACTGCGTGCCTTTCACACTCATAAGTGGATGCCTCCGACGCCCGCCCAAGAACCAGCGCCGCCCTTTCGATGGGGAGATCGGATGCAGACCCGGCTCCCGGCCAGGCAAATGCCACTCCTTCGTGTGAAAATCCATCGCGATAATTTTGGGCAGGTGCAACAAGACCTCCTCGTCTTCATCTCCAACGACCTCGTCCTCGTGCAACGCCCGTCCTTGGATCGCCGATGCGCGCCCCCGCAACGGCTGCTTCCTCGACCGATCCAAGTGGTCAGCCACAGCTACGGGCATCCCTCTCGCCAGAGGCAACCACCCAAGCGAATGTGCGCACGCCTTGTCGTGGTACCCCAGCCATCGAATTTGGTCCTCCACCGTGTGCGGCCGCCTCTGTTCCACGCCGTGGTTTGGGCGATCTCTGGCTGCAATCCAGGGCGGCTGTTCTCCGCGTTCCCTGGCCCACTGCGCAGCTTTTTGCTTGCCGACGTGGCAGCGAGTGTCTTGATTTGCATACGTCGCGACGGCTTCAAGAAATCCCCCCCGAAATCGCGCGTCTCCTAGCGACGTCGCGACGAGCTTTCTCTTCTCTCGCTCCACTTTGCACTTCTCGCACTCAAGCCCGATTTGCTTCGCGATGGCCTCGGCGTCTTCTACGCAGCGCGCGCTCCCGCGCAACGATGCGCCGTTCACCCGCGACCCCAGAACGTCCGTCGGTCTGCCATGCAAAAAGGTGCGCCAGCGTTCAGTCAGCTCTCCTTGGCGAAACTCGCCCTGCACTCCAATGAACCAGTTGTCCCGGTCTTCCAGGCGCTTGCACTCCGCCAGCTCCGTCATTCCCTGAACCGACCTTTCGCCTCCCGCGCCCCGCAAGGTATGCTGCCCGTGGTCCTCCGTGACACCCGGCGCGTGCTTCCTCGCGTTTTCAGATGTGACGTGGGCGGCGCATTAATGGCTGTCCCCGACGGCGGCTCCAATTGGTAGACATCCCAGCAGAATAACACACTCACGCCCCCGACGGCCTATCCATGCCGCCGTGTCCGTCTACCTTTGTGTCGCTTGCAGCTGACATGCACGAGCGCAAGTGCGAGTCGAGCTCTGCTGGGAAGTTCGCGCTCACCATGCTTATTTCGTCCACTAGCAACCGCTGCCACTGTGGCATGCGCTGAGCGGCCAATTCCCTTCTTCGTCTTCTTTTTGGACTTTGCGCTCGCATCGCCTTCCGTACTCGGCGCGTTCGCTTTGCTCGCACCGATCCCACATGCACGGTGGATTATATTCCCGTCATGCGCAGACGCGTTCGTCGCCTGGAAATCTATGCCGCGCGCCCGCCCCATCTGTTCCTCGAACAATTCTCGCCGGACTCTGTCGATGACAAAACTCTTCCTGGTCCCTGGGCCACCGTGTAATGCCCGCGTGAGAGGCTCCATATCAGAACGACCCCTGCATGGCCTCTTGCCGATCGCGGAACCCGCGATCTCCCGCGCCAACACCCGATCTGCCACCTTCACAACGATGCTACGCCGATTTGCGTTCAACCCGCCCTCCGCAAGCCCGTTCCTCCACTTCCGCGCGCTGGGCGCCGTCGCTTTTCTCCCCGCGACCACCTCTGGGGCACCCTCCGCTTCAGCCGCGCCGCTTCCTTCTGCGGATCTTGGCGCCGCGGCCGCCGCCAGCGCCTTCTGCGCTTCCGCGTCGTCCCACTTCAACGCGCTGTCCCTGGCTCGCTTCTTGCGCTTTCCGCTCTCCCGACTGTTGTCCTCCCCCCGCGCTGCGTCGCCCCTTGCTGTGGCCTCCCGACTTTTCGTTTTCGCACTCCGCATTTGCGTTTGCCCGCCTGTCCGCTGCCTCCATGAAAGTACCCCCCGCGTGCGTCTTCCGCCTGGTCGACGCATTGGCGATTTTCGGGTCCAGCTCTTCGTCGCTGTGCAGCTCGTCCCCGTGCTTCGCGAGATCTTCCTCCGCGACTGGCCGCGAGTCCACCGCGCCCATGTATTTCTGCACGTATCTCTTTGTCTCCTCACATAGCACGCCTTTTTTCCGACCACTCTGAGGGCGCTTCCGCCCTCGAGCCCTGCGCTCCGCGGATATCCCGCAGGTGCGGCGCTCTGCAGTCGATGTCGTCACGCAGCGCGAGCACTTGAAACTATGCCATCAACAAGAGCCCGCTCCTATCCTCCCCCCCAGCCCCGCGTTTCGGCTGCGGCACTCCATGAAAACTCGGGTTCCTTGCGCGCTCGTTCCGCACCGTCGCCCACGCGAGCTTCAGAGTTTCCATGTTTGGAACAGCCGGGAACGAAAACCACGAACAACTCCCCCCCTTCCTTGACCACATAACTCACGCCAGCTTTCAGCTGGGCCCCCGCCTGCGCCCCGCCTTCGCCTGTTTCCGCTCTCTCCTGATCTGCTTCGCGGACCTTTCGAATCCCAGACAGCGTCAGCTCCGTCTGGTACTCATTGCTGGCCGCGGCCGACATCTCCGCTCCGCCGCGCGGAAATGCCGCCAGCTCTATGCACCAGTATCGCAAGAACTCGTACATATATATATATATATATATATGCATGTATATATATATATATATACACATCTCTCTCTCTATATATATATATGTGTGCCAAGTCCGGCGCACCAGGAGCGTCCACGGGGCGCATGCCATACAAGCACTCTTCGAAACAATTCGAACCTTCTTCGACCCTTCCCGTTTATCCGCTTCGACAATCCCCGACGCTGCCGCGGCGGCGCCGTCCCCGTCTGCGCAGAGCCGTTCCACCATGCGCACTGCTTCTACCCCCCCCGGATCATGGCTGTCTTCGCAGTCTTGATACTCTCGGCGCTGGTCACGTCTCTCGGGTCCCTGTGCGCTCGCAGGTTCGCACTTTCCTGCGCCGACCGCACCGCGCCTCTCCCGTGCATGTCACTGAGAAACCTCTTCATGTGCCTGTTCGCTCGGTGCGCCGCGGTCCCGTCCTTCGTTTGCTCCGCCAGCGCGTGGTGGCCCTTTTTGATCTCCCTCACCTCGTTGAGCGACTGGGCACACCGCTTGCGCTGATAGTCCGCCGCATGCCCCGCCGCTGCATTCTGCGCTCGCTGCGCTGGCAGCACCATGTCAATGGGCCGAACCGTTTCCCAGCACCGCTCTTCGCAAGCAGAATTGTCGTGCGTTGCCTCCGTCACCAGGAACCTGTGCGGGATCTGCAGATCGCTGTTGAAATTCAACCTTACCGCGCCGCTTAGCATCGCAGGCAGCGTACCGTTCAGGTTCTCCTCGTTGATGGGCCCGTGCAAGCAACCTTTCACGTTCCTCCTCCCTGCCCTGGGCATGTCACGTGCTTTCGAAAACCGTGGCACAAGACCGCTGCGCGATCTATCAACCAAGTGACGCTGGAACAAACTTTTACACTGCGTCTTGTCGTCTTTCCTCTGACAATGCGCCAACGGTACCACGCGCTGCAAACGCTTATTCCACTGGTGCACGTGATTCTGTCGAAAACTCCTGCCCCTTTTGCACCCAGACACCAAGGTACTCTTGCAGCCACGTTCGACCTTCCTCGCTTACATTATTCCCCTTGTCTGTTCCCTCAGGGGCGGGCGCGCATTCGGCAACGTCACTCGTGCTTTTCCTACCGCCTCTTTCCGCCGCTCTCAACCCTTTCGTCTGGCCGCTGTGTCAGTACTCCGGTGACACATGCGAGCCTTCCGCCCCTAGACGCTCTGAAATGAACCCAAGAAGTTCCCAAGAGGCCCGAAGACGCCCAAAAGAAACCCCAATACGCCGCCAAAAGGTTTCGAAACTGCCTCCAAGAGGCCCGCGACCCACCAAAACGTCGAAATCATCGAAATCAATCTTCTAGGCGTCCGCCCGATGACGCCCCCGGGAGGCCCCAGAAGGCTTCAGGATAACGCGAAAACGCAAAAGAGGGTTCGAAGAAGCTCCCATGACTCACCAAGAGGCTCCGCCAAAGCCCAAAAGAGGTCCTGGAGGCTCCGAGACGGCACCCGAGATGTCTCAAAGCCGCCTCCCCAAGGCCCCCGAGGTACCTCGCCAAACAAACCAAAACAAGGGGTCGGCGGATGTGGCGTAAGAATATAGAGTCAGTCCACATGAGTCCCGAAACGAACCAGGACGTCCTCGTGAAGCACACCACGTGGCAACGCCACAAAGCGCCATGGTTTAGAATGATCGGAAGAATCGTCGTCTGCCATAGCAGCACATGCACCCGAAACGGAATGGTCCAACCCCGAACGAGAGTTTTCAATACTGGCCGAGGCGAATACGCGGTGGTGGAAGGTGTTGTGCCGAAACTCAACGCGCCAACGGCGACGAATGTCAAGAATCTGAAATAGAGTCCCAAATCAGGTCAACCTCATGCTGCGAACAATTCCCTTAATTTGTCAGGGAAGAGATGGCTGACCCGGGCGCTAACTCATGAAGGCTTGTTTTGGGCTCGGGTCGGCTCGGGCCCTCCTTGTCCCCCATGTGGAAAAAATGGTCGTGGATGTCAGCGTTCACGTGGAAGCTGGTGTTCACACGATCGGAGGAGGAGGAGGAAGAAGAAAAAGATATGGAGGATTCGCCCGCCCAGCCCGCCTATCAGGAATCGCCCGCCCGACTCGTCCATTACTGCCCGCCCGCCCGACCCGCTTGTCCCCCCCTGTGTTCGTGTGGGATGACGATCAAGTAATGCCCGGGTGGCCCGTAACGCAAAGGCGTCGGAGGACAGCGACAACAGCCGACGAAGCTTGTTTTGGATCGAGTCTCAAGTGAAGGGAGTGCAGGTGAACATCTTTTGGCTACTTCACATGTGCAATTGGCCTTGATAGGCCAGCAAGGTGGGTGGGCTCGCATTGCATCTTTGCGCTCCGCCTCCTGTCACGTCGTCGACGATGCTCGTTCGATGCTGCACCGTAGGCAGAGTGTGGGGAAACCACAAGGTACCGATGCTGCTACTCTCTGGACCTCCCCCGGGGTGCGTTCTGACCAGGGTTTCGAGGCGAATCCAGCAGTGGCGACGAGGGCCTCCGAGGAGACCCACGCAGGCGAGAACGCGGGAACGGCGGCGGTATGGGTGCCTCGTCCTCTCGTCCTCCTCCGAACTTGGCCCGCAGCGCCCCCAGGGCACGAGGCGCGCCGCCTCTTTCTGTCTCCGCCCCTGGCGCGTCGCCGGCGACCCCGGCGGCGGCCTCGCGCCCGAGCCGCGGGGCCGCGGCCTCGCCGCCGCCGTGCCGCCAGGCGCCCGCGAGGGCCCGCGTCCTGCTCGGGCGCGGCTGGCGCGCGGGACGCCTCGCCGCCGCCAGCGCCGCCGCCTCCCGTCGCCGCCGCTGCCGTCGGGGTGGCCGCCGCCGCCCGTCGTCGCCGCTGCCGCCGCCGCCGCGGCCGTCGTGCACGGTCGTCTCCGTCGTGGTCTTCGTCGCCGCCGCGGGTGTCGTGGTCGCCGCCGCCGCCGCCGTCGTCGCCGTCGTGGCCGTCGTCGCCGCCGCCGTCTTCGTCGCCGTCGTCCCCGGGCTGCCACGAGCCGCCTGGCGGCCCTCCGAAACCGGGCTCGGGCCCCTGTCATGGGAGAGAACGCAACGCACAGGGATGACTCGTCGTCGTCGCCGTCGTCTTCGTCGCCGTCGCCGCATCGAGGATCGAAGGGATTTTCGAAGAAGGTTGCAACTCTTCGGGCCGAGGGAAGACTCTGCCATTCTGCGCCATCGAACATTGCTCTGGAAAGTTACCAGGATGCACCCATGGAGAAATCCAAGGACAGATTTTGCCACGCCGTCGTCGCCATCGAGGATCGACCCAGACCTCCAGCGTTTTGACAAAATGGACGCGGAACTTGTTGAATTGTAAGGGGGTCTGGAGGTTTTTCGGGCTCCGCGTCAGTCAAACGTACTGTGTGACGACACGTTGCTACATAGGGGAATGGCCAGACGCAAAGGGGGGAGAAGGGGGCAGATGAGGCGGGGGCGGGGGAGGGTACTCTGAGGGACTCGGATGATACCAACCTTGTCTGCTACGCCGAGCCGCATTGTCGAGCCGCACCTCTCGCATACGACATGTTAATTTGCTGCCATGAGTCGCTTCTTCGCGTTACGCCCTGGGCCAGTGTGCCTTCCTTGTGCCTCTCATCCGTATGCAGCCGCTCCTGGAGCACATCGCGCGTTGCCATCCTTGCTGTCATGAGGCTCACTCCAATCCAAGCGCACCCGCTTGCTTCTGACGGGCAGCGCTTGGTGAGCAGGATTGCCAATTACATGAAGCGCATGCACTCGCTCCCAGTACACTTCACGCTGCCAACGTTGCTGCCAAGAACTTCGCCAAGCGCAACTACTTGCTCTGAACGCATATCACATTGCCAGCGTGGTTGCCAGGAAGCTCGCTCCAATTATACCCGGTCGCTCCAGGCGCACATTGCATCGCCAATGCTGTTGCCAAAAACCTCACCGAAAACGCTCCCGCTCGCTCCTGTTGTGCTTCGCGGTGCTGTCGTCATGGCCAGGAAGCTCTACCCGCTCGCCGCTACCAATGGGCAGTGTGCCAACAGCCTTGTTACTACAGTTCGCACCCGCTCACCACTGGCAGGCATCGGGTCGCCAGCTCGTTGCCGCAAGACCGACACCGAACACGCTCGCTCGCTCCCGACGCTCGCTCCCCTAATCAACTCCAAACGCATTGCTGTGAAGCCTTCTCCAAATTCAACCGCTTGCTCCTGGCGCACGTCGCGTTGCCAGCGTGGTTGCCAGAAAACTCACTCCAAGCGTGCCCGCTCGCCCCCGCCAGGCATCACGCCGCCAGCGTGGCAACCTGCCTGGCTGTGGTCCTGGAGGTATCCCACGCGTGATCGTTCGCATTATGGCCAGAACCGTTTCGGTGCCTTTGAGGTCCTTAGGCGCCTCCTCCCAACCATACGATCCGTCCTGGCTAACTCCGACAATCCAACCGGCTAAAGCCAGCCCAGCCAAACTTCAGGTGACCTCGGACTCCCTGCGAAGCCATCCCCCCAGCCAGGCCAGTCAAACCAGCCCAACTTGTTTGTCAACGGTGTAGCCTGGAGAACGCATCATGCGATCACACGAATTCTTCTGGGATCGCTATTAAAGGCGAGCGGGAACAGCAAGGGAAGGAATGTGAGGAAAGGAGCTGAGTGGACGGCTCCTGGTCCTCCTTCTCCTTCTCCTTCTCCTCTCCACTATCTCTTCGTCCTCCCACCGCTCCTCCTCCTCCTCCTCCTCGTCCTCCTCCTCCTACTCATCGTCCTCCTCATCAACCCTACCTCCCTGCCCCCTCCCTCCTCCCTCCTCCTTCTCCTGCTCGCCCCCTTGGCCGCCATCGCTGTGATCGCCAATCACAATCGACCCCCAGGCCAGGGTCGATGCTGGCTCAAGCTGGTTGCGGCCGTAGCGATGGCAACTTCTCCCAACTTGCCCGAAACCTTCATGACACCACCACAGCCTCCGCCGCCGACGTCGTCGTCGTCGTCGTTGTCGTGGTCGCCGTCGTGGTCGTGGCGGTCGTCGTGGTCGTGGTCGTCGCCGCCGCCGCCGTGGACAGCAGCCGCGTGCGCTGGCCCGCGGGCCATCCTCGCCGCCGAGATAGCCAGGCGCAAGCAGAGGCCCGCAACCTCTTGGGGCGTCGGGCCGCCCCGTCGTCGCCGTGCCGTCATCTTCGCCGCCGCAGCCGCAATCATCGGCGTCGTCGTGGTCGTCGTGGTCGTCGCCGCCACCGTCATCGCCGCCGCCGTCGCCGCCGCCGCCGTCGTCTCTGTCGTCGTCGTCGTCGTCGTCGTCGTCGTCGTCGTCATCGTGGTCGTGGCCGCCGTAGTCGGGTCGAAGATTGATGTGCTTCACTGCTGTCGGCCAATTTGGGGGCCACACGGGGGCCCCTGGATACCTCCGGACACCTGTGGAGGTCTCTAAAGACATCGGCAGTCGTCCCTGTTGTCGGTGGTCCGATGCCTCTCTTCTTCTTGTCCCCCCCCAGGATGACCTCGTGGCCACGGCTGAGCGAAGCCCGAGGAACTGACCAGGATGGCGTCGGAAAAGCCCTTGGGGGTGGTGCCACGTGGAGCTCGAGGCGCCGCGACGAGATTGAGCTCCTCAGCTTGGGCTCTGTTGGCTACACTGGAGGGTGACCCTGAGCAAGAGTGGCCTCCCGCACGCGGCTTTCGTGGGGCGCGGGCGCGGGGAGGGGAGAGGAGGAGGAGAGGGAGGGGGAGGAGGAGGAGGAGGAGGAGGAGGAGGAGGAGGAGGAGGAGGACGAGGAGGAGGAGGAGGAGTTGGAGGACGAGGAGGACGAAGAAGAAGAAGAAGAAGGAGGATGAGGAGGAAAGATGAAGATGGAGGAGGAGGAGGAACACGAAAAGTAGGAATGAGGGAGGCGGGAGGGGGGATGAGACAGGAGGCATGTGGGAGGAAAGCGAGGGCAAGAGGCAGGGGGAAGGAGGGAAGGAGGGAGAGAGGAGGCCGGAGGAGGGGAAAGAAACAGGGATGAAGGAGGACGGAGGAGGAGTTTTTTTTTCACCAGCGCGATTCCAGCATCAAGTAAAAGCAAATTTTGCTCACGCCGAGGCCGGACCTGCTTCGCAGGGTGGCCTCAGCATGCCACGGCAGGCGCCGAGGTGGAAGAAGCACGCCCTGACTGGTTTACCCACACATCGGGCTAGTCAGAGCCGTCTGAACCAAAGACAGAGACAACAACAAACATATTGTTTGAACTCTGACCTCCCTCCTCGGTCACAGGACGGACGCGTACTGCATTGAGCTGAGCCACTTGATCCCTGGAGGGATGGTCTTGGGAGGCTTTTGGGGATCCTAGACGGGTTCTGTGCGGCGTTCCTGCTCCGGCGTGTTCCTCCTTTCTTCATCCAGATTTCCAGGGTCTTGAAAATTGACCAGGCGCGGCCCAATCCAGAGGTGCCATTGTTTGTTCATCGACGATCGTGGAGCGCTGGAGTTCTGGAGCCTTCCTGGGGACTGGCCTTTCATCCTGAGTTTTTTTTTTTACACCCCAGGGCCCTGCAAGGGCACCCCAAGGCCGAAAACGGTCGCATGTTGTTATCTTGGCTCTTGCAAGTTTATACTTGCATGGCATTCTGCCTCCCCCCCGCTCGCCGCCTATCTTTCGTTGCAGGGCGAAGAGCGGGCAAACAACTTTTGGCTTGCATGATCTCAAACTTTTCCTTTGGGGCTTGCCAGAGAGCCCCTCCCACACCCTGCATGCAAGCACACTTGCAAGACAATAAATACCTATAATTCTTAAAACGAGTTCTGGGTATACATCTTCCGTCGTGATGGTTCGTTTCACGGCGCGAGGAAGTCTGGGTTTATGCTCCTCGACGATCGCCTGTCGTCGTGCCAGTACGATCGAACAGGGTATTGAAATAATGGGGACGAATCCATATAAAACATGTTCTTCATCTTGAGCAGGGATCGGTGTCGGTGTCACCGTGGGCGCCTTCAATTTGAAACATAAAACCTGCATGCACAACATCGGCTGCTTCCGCTTTTGAGCAGAACTTGCTGTTGGACATCGTGCCAATTTTCAGGGGTCGCCCAAAGAGATTTTATGCGTTTTTGTTTCGTTTTCGTCTCGAGGCGACCGATTATCTCAACCAGCGTTGTGGTATAAATTCGAAATCTTGATCTGCAATTGGCGGGCCTTCGAGGGGTCGCCGGTCAAGGGTCAAGCCTGTATGCCTGCGACGGGGCGGCCGCTTAGGGGCGGCCGCTTAGGGTCAAGCCTGTACGTATGCCCGCGAAGGGGACACAGTAACGAAAACAATACGAAAAAATAGAGAAAACGAAACCGATCCAATATACGGAACAAAATAACATGTTGGTCGACCCCTGCCCATTCTTCCTCTACAACTTTCGGCGACTCAGAAGGGTGTGGTTTGCAGGAGTGTGTTCTGCAACCCGCGCCTCGGGGGGGCGGGCGAGGACCTTGACAGAGATTTCCGCCGCCCCCCGACGGGGGCTCATCAAACCTTGGCGCAACGTCGTGACCCTCTAAGCCCCATCGCAAACCACACCCCGGCGTACAGTCGAACGAAGCTCACAGGAAGGTAGATCAAGACCATGGGCCCCTTCGCCGAGAGCCCAAGGCCCCGTGGAGACATCCCGAGCGAAGGGCATCCCAAGGCGCAGAGCCCAGCGGCCAAGAACACAAAGGGTACCCCCTCCAAAGCTATGACTGTTCTTCACGCTCGTGCCAGCTGCGCGCACACACGGGCTTGCCGCCGCAGCGGCCGCCGAGAGCCTTGGCGGCCGCCGCGAGGCGTGCGAGGTGACGACGACGACGACGACGACGACGACGACGGCGACGACGGCGACGACGAAGACAACGACCCGTCAGGCCAGCTGCGGCCGCCTCCTCGTCTCCGCACCGCGGGCAGCCGAGCCAAAGCAGCACCGCCGCCGCGCGCTCCAGAGCGCCCGCGGGGGCTGGCGGCGACCCAGGGCCGCTGGGGGCGCACTGCGGGCTGCGGGCGCTGACGTCGTCGTGGTCGGCGGCGTCGGCGTCGGCGCTTTCGGCGTCGTCGTCTGCGTCGTCGTCTGCGTCGTCGTCGCGCTCGTCGCCGGCCGCCGCCGCCGCCGGCGCCGTCGGCGTCGTCGTCGTCTTCGTCGTCGTCGTCGTCGTCGTCGTCGCCGTCGTCGTCGTCCTCGTCGTCATCGCCGTCGTCATCTAATTATGCTCGGGGCATCCTGCGGGCGGCGTGAGCGAAGCGGCATGCGCAGGTCTTGTCGCCGCGGCCAGGCGCGGCGCGAGACACTGGGGCCAGGGTGGGCACCGAGAGAGTGCCAGGGACCGAGGACCCATCGTGAGCGGATTCGGGTGCGGCGGCGTCGTCGGCGTGACGTCTTCGGCGTCCCTGGCGTCGTCGGCACCGTCGTGCGATTGCGAGCAACGCCAAATGATGAGGAACGGATGGGCGTTCCAGCCAGTGTCAGCCGAGTGCACGATCGGGTTCCCCGGTCCAGAAAGGAGGAACCGCCCGAAAGCCCGAGCCCCTCCCGATCCCGAGGTGGTCTTGCTTTCAGCGTCTTGACTGCAACGGATCACCTGGGCACAACATGGATAACGACAGACAGACAGACAGACAGAAGCCCTACGCCCATGGCGCGTCGGCAAACGCACACTCATACACTACCTACACATCTCTCTTAATCTACGTCTCCAAACGTGAGGATCCTGATCAAAATCTTGCAATCTGTCTCCTTCCCCGCATGCCCGGTGCGCATGTGGTCCCAGTAATTTCGCGCATGGATAACGACACCTGCACCACATTACATTACCAACTCTGCTGGCCCTATGCTAGGTGATCGCCAACCGTTCCGACGGGAGGCCCTGGCAGCCATCTCCTCCAGTCCCGACGAGCCGACATGACGAAAGACGACGGCAACCGCGTCCCGAAACGCGTCCTGCGCCGCCAGCTGCGCCGGGAGCAGCGCGCACAGCCGCGAACGGAGCTGGCCATCCAGGCGGCAGGGCTCCTCGCGGCGCGGGCGAGGGGCAGGGGGAGGAGGAGGAGGAGGAGGAGGAGGAGGAGGAGGAGGAGGAGGAGGAGGAGGAGGCGGAGGAGGCGGAGGAGGCGGAGGAGGAGGAGGAGGAGGAGGAGTCAGAAATCGCGCGCGCGCGCGCTCTCACTTCGGAGCCCTCCCACCTGCGCCTCGCGAAAGGGGGCCGCCTCTCCCCACTGCCTCTCCTCCTCTGCGGCCGCGCTCTCGTGCTCCTCCCAGCGGCGCGGGCGCACGACAGGTCAGTCCGCAGCCCGCTCCGGCCCGAACGCGTGGTCTCCCATATCGTTGCGATGACGACGACGACGACGATGACGGCGACGTCTCCGCCCCTCGCGAGTGGCAGGCAAGGTCAGTCAGCAGCGAAGCGGGACATCGGATCGAGCCGAAACGCGCGTCGGAGCGGGCCGCGTCGGGGCGGGCCACACCAGGGTGCACAGCAGCGCCCCGCGCAAGCATCGGGTCGCACCGGATTTGGCCGCATCGGGACGCGGGGGCTGGGTCGAACGAGAGCCAGACATCAGGCGCCGTGATGTTGTTCGCAACGTGGCTTCCCAGAGGTCGGGAGCCCCTCTCCAGGAGCGTTTTTTTCTGACTGGGCCGTTTTTGGAACACCTCCGGGGCCCGTGCGGTCCGCGAGCGTGGCGACGGCAGCGGCGCAATCGGCATAAAGGGGGCCCACGAATTGCGGTCGTGTCGCAGTCGCCGTAAGATCACCTTCGGCGACACGCACCGCTGCCATCCGCCACCGCGCCATAGCACCGAGCGGAGTACGTACCCTCGGGCATTTTCGAACTAGAACAACGTACGCTTCGCGCGCGGTGATGTTCTAGACAAGGCAAAGCCAGCGTCACGTCAATCAGTGGATGGGTAAGCATGCCATCCCACCGCGATCACCACATGGGAACACCTGCGCTATCGTGGGCAGACATACCTGAATAACTTCTCCCCGCCTATTTTCGGCACATCCTTCACACGGGTCATGCCCCAATGAGCTCCACCTACGGCCCCCCACCCATCCCGGCACACCCAGAACACGGATCATGCCCCACAGGGAGCTCCACCTGCGGCCCCACGCACAGCGACACACCCCTCACGCGGATAGTGCTGCCCCGCACGTCACTGTACTTGAAGCTTCGCGTAGAGTCGCCTCATACACGTCGGCACACCTCTCACACGAATCGTGCCCTGCAGGGAATTCCACCTACGGCCCCAGAGACAAGGCTCGCATCCCGCCCCAGTGCCTCTTGCGGCGAATACTTCGGCATACCTCTCACACTTATCGTGTCCCACAGGGTGCTCCACCGACAGCCCCAGTGACGAGGTTCGCATAGCGCCCCCCCCCGCCCATTGCGGTACACCACTCACGCGGAACGTGCCCCACAGGGAGCACCACCCACAGCCCCAGAGACCAAATTTGCAAATCGTCGCTCCGCCCATGTCGGCACACTGTTCACGCGAACCGTGCCTTGGAACGAACTCCACCTATGGACGCAATGCCAAACTTCGCATGGCGTCCCCCCGCCCATTTTGGCACATGCCTCACACGGGTGCCCCGCCTTTGTCCTCAGTGGTGGGCTCGCGCGAGGGCGCCTGGATTATTCAGCACCCTCTTCACGCGGATCGCGCCCCTCAAAGAGTTCAGCGCGCCTGTGCACGCTTGCTCAGCAGCAATCCGATATCAACTCAGTCCCGCGGCGCCCCTACACGTGACAGCAGTGGGATGAGTCCGTCATTAGGCCGAATGTTTGCTCGTTTATGGCCTTCGGCCCATACCGCCACGTGCCTGAGCTTTGGACCAGGGGTCTCTTGGATACCTGCAATGACTGGTCTCTTGGCATGCTTCTCGGGCGCCTCGTGGAGCGAGCTTTGAAGCTTTTCGGGGCCGTTTGGAGGTCTCTTGGGGCCTCTTTTGGGGCCCTTGGGGGCCTCTTGGGGGCCTGCTGGCGGCCTCGGGGTTCCACTTGGGGCGCAGGGCTCGACATGTGAGTTCGGGTTCCCCGGTCTTGGGCTTCTCTTGGGGCACTCTTGAGCCGTTTTGGGCACCTCGTGGACTGTCTTGGGGCTCTCTGGGGCCGTCTTAAGCCCTCCTGGGGGTTTCCTGGGCCGTCTTGGGGCGATCTTGGGGGCCTCGTGGGCTCTCGCAGGCGCCGTGAAGAGTGAAACTGCGAATCTGCAGTAAAAATGTACGGTTTCCTTCGGGCATGTGGCAATGTTGGCCATCTGTGGGCGCTCCTGGGGGGCATCTTGCAGCCTTCTAAAGGCGTCCTGGATGCATGTGGGGCCACCTCGGGGCGTGTCTGGTTGCGCTGCTTTCGTCGCTCCTCCGTGCTCCCCCGAGGGTGTTCTGGGCGGCCGGGGGGAGGCCCGGGAGGCCCTCGAGGGGGGTGGGAGCTCAAAAGAAGGGGGGGGACGGGGACTGTGTGCTGGCCCGGGGCCCAGAGCCCTGGTACTCCGGCATATGAACAATGTCTTAAATGGAATACTGTGTTGTAAATGCCCCCTGCGGGATCAGCTGCCGTCGTCGTCGTCGTCGTCGTCGTCGTCGTGTTGGTCGTCGTCGTCGTCGTCGTCGTCGTCGTCGTCAACCAGGTCATGGTCGGTGCCGTCCGACCAAAATCCGCTCAAAGCCGCCGTCGTCGCCGCAGTCGTGTTTGACACGCGCGAGAATCCTTCGAAGCGGAAGGCGTCGACGCCGACGTCGCTCCCGAGCAATCCGCGGAGGCATCGCGAATGAGGCCAAGAGGGGACGGGCTCGGAGGATCGCGCAACATCGCCCCTCCAACGCCACAGTAGCGCCTAGGGGCGGCAGGTCCTTCCCCTTGCCAGAGCACCTAGCTGCTTGGATCACATTGGGTTCGGCATCTGCAGCAGCATTGCGGGCCGCGTCTGTCCGCGCGTGAAATGTAGCTTCGATGCGTTCGCGTGCGGCGTTTGACGCCAGCTGACTCTCGTCGCTCGCCTGGCGAACCTTCTTCTGGCTTGCAACGACCCAGACGCATCATGCTAACCATGTTCGTAGCGTCGTAGGCCGCCGTGGGCACAGGGGCGTTGCAACTGTCCAGCAGCCCATTTGGGGAGCGATCGACCAAGTATTTCTTGTCCGTTGCGATGAATGCGTCCAGCTCAAGAACTCTGGCATTCTGCAAGGATGCATCGGGACAAATTTCGCCGCCGTATCTTCATATAGCCGGACCTGCAGAACAAAACGAACATATTAACATGGCAGGAAATGTCCTTCTCCGAATGACAGCAATTGCCTGAGAAAACTGACGTGCCATCCATCTTGGTTCAGAAACCCAGATACAATCCCCTGACGTGCCAGCCACCTTGGATCAGAATCCCGCAAGCGTCTTTGAATCACTGCCATACTGGGTGGGATGTTCTGGGACAACCTCCAGCATCTGACTAAGGGTGGTATCCCATTTTTTTCGACTGCGTCTTGGCAGTATTCGTCGCATTGCTGGGGCGTGCTTGTTCAGGTATTGTGAACCACAACTGGTCAGTATCCAGAACATTGAAACCACCGCGTAAAAAATCACGCACACAAGCCAGCCTGGAATTGTTACCACCTCACGCCCATACCATCTATATCTACACATATATGTGTGTATACATGTTTACATCTGTGCATCTATATACATATACTGGAACCATCGCGCGCGCTTCGCGCGCGCCCAAGTTCTAGCTAGGCTTGATGGGCGAACACATGGAATATCATCCTTGTCGTAAATGTATAGAAGGGGAGCTGCGGAAACGCAAGAATCAGTAATTGCCGTTCAGTATTCAACGATTTGGGGCCCTCGAAGGCTTCCTGGGTTCTTTTCTGGGGCCTTCATTGCGGTCTGTTTGCAAGAATAGACAGGGGGGCGAACTTGGAAAACAACGGAATGGGATCCCCCTTTTTTCCAAGTTGTAGTGCCTGGGCTATGGGTTAGGCGTTTTCTGCATGCAAGCAACGGTCTGTTGGGATGCCTCTCGGGGTCTCCAAGCAAAAATAAGCAAGGGGTGAGTTTGAAATCAATGCGTCTAACATTGCACTGCTTCAACTCATGGGATCATGGGATCTCGATTTCTACAATGGTTTCAGGGGCAGCCAAGAACACGCGAAGACGATCCAAGAGATTTTCAAGACAGCGTCAGAGAGTTCAATAGAATTCCCGAAACATTTTGGCATGTGGCCTCGACGTCTTGATGGGGCTCGAGGAAGAGGATAGGGAGTACCAACTTGAAAGGGGGAATCTATTTGTTTGTTTTCAAATTCCTCGGCCTTGGAGCGTTGGAAGCGGGAAAACGTGAGAAGGCGAACCGCGTCGACAATAACCACTGGAAAGCAACGCTTTTACCCTCTTCGGGCTCTCTCGGGACGGCTCTCGAAGCTCTCTTGGGCTGTTAGAGGGGCCTCGTCGGGGATTTTTTGGGAGCCTCTCAAAAGTCTGGGGTGTGTTGGGGGCCTCTAGGGGGCAGAGGTCTCTGGAGGCCTCCTGCTCCCACTCTTGGGCTCATCTTGGGCCTGTTCTGGGGTGGTCTGGAGCTGTCCTGGGCGCCTCTTCGGCAATCTTGGGGCCGTCTTGGACCGTCTTGGGGCCGCCTTGGGGGCCTCTTGGGCGGTCTCGGAGCGGTCTTGGGGGATTCTTCGGCCGCCTTGGAGCGTTAGAAGCATGAAATGGTGAGAAGGCCAACAACCATGCAACAAACAAGGATAATTAACGATTTTAGGTGTCCTGGTGCACCTCTTGAATGTCACATGGCAGAGATTGGGCTCGAAATGTGAGCCTTATGGGGGTATGGAGGCCTTCTGTACTAGCTGCCCGCGGAACCGTTGGAGGGCACGGGCGTCCCATGTGAGCAAGCGTTTCAGATATGTTTTTGGGCACGCCCTCGACCTAGTGGGGGAAGAGCCGATTGTAGACGCTGAGTGGACCACTCTGGCACTGCCGTCGGCTCGATACCTTCCTTGCAAGTCTTGAGAATATTCTCCCCAGACTATCCGCGTTGCATCAAGAATGTTTCGTGCTAGTGGCACGTCGCAGGATCACGTCCAGGTTGCGGTTTCAGCCGAAGAGCAGGGCTCCAACGTTCAGGAAACCAGCCATTCTGCCTGGCGAAGAAGGTCGTGTTGTCAACGTAGTGTCGCGGGGCAGGGCCGTGATCTCTTCGCCAATGACGTCCATCTTGACCTGGGCGGGGCTCTCAGCTGGAACGACGTGGAGCTGCGTGGTCCCACCATATGCAGCCAGCACTCAGAGGCCGACGCATGGCATGTTCCCCAGAAGGTCGGAGAGCAACTCATGCCTTGTGCCCCCGCTTGCCGGCGATGCCAGCCGCACCAGTGAGCTGCACCGCGAAGAGCTGGTACACGTCCTCACCACCAACTGTGAAGCCCTCCGTGCTGTCTACTGTCTGGAGCCACGCCTCGATGGAGGCGACCACGTCCGCCATGCGCACCATTCTGGGGGCCACCACTTGAGGACAGTCCCGCCCACGTCCCGTTCAAAGCAGGTCGCATCGGCGGAGGAACCCGATTGGCCATTGCAAGCTCGTTCCGCACCGCGTCCATGGAAGCGCGCGCGTCGTCGATCTGCCTGGCGAGGTCGACAATCTTCCGGTCCAATGAACCAACTCGTATTGCGATGTTTTGGTCTGCGCCTGGCAGCGGCGCTCGATGGAGTCGATGTCGGGCCGGATCGAGTTCTGCAAATCGTTCCTGCATGAACCTGGGCCGTGCTGAAGTGCAGCTTCCAGAGGTATGGCCGC